CCTGTGAATACTATCAGAAACAAGTTCACACTCACCTCCCTAAACCACGGGGCTCCATTCCACACCTCCATCTATGTCCTTGCCCTTTATCTATGGCATGGGAGCCTTAATGCTTCCTCTGCACCTCCCTGAGCTGTAGATGCTGGCAAGCCTCAAGACTTGGAACTTGAACCTCTTCTATCCACGTTCTCTCTTTCGGTGATCTCATTGTCCTGGGTCTTTAAATACCACCCATATGCTTCCAAATTTCTATCTTCAGCTAGAATCTTCCCCCGACTCCAACTCATGCCAACTATCTTCTTCACATTGCCATCTATGTCTCCAACATACAGCTTCAACTGAAGTCAAACCGAGGCTCCTGCACCCCTCTCCTCTGCAATCAGCCACATCTTGATAAGTATAATTCCAAACATCGAGTTTCTCAAGCCAAAAGCCTTGCAGTATATTTGCCCACCCCACCTCCTTTTTTATTTCTGTCTGTCCTAGGGCCTGAACTCAGGACCTTGGTACTGTTCCTGAGCCACTTTGTGCTCAAGGCTAGTGCTCTACCACAGAGCCATTTCAGGTTTTTTCTGAGTAGTTTATTGGAGATAAGAATCTCATATACTTTCCTAACAGGGCTGACTTTGAACCACGATCCTCAGATCTCAGCCTCCTGAGTAGCTAGGATTACAGGTGTGAACCACCAGTGCCTGGCTTATTTGCCCCACCCCCCCCACCTTTTTTCCCCTCCCATATCCTGTACTGAACCCTTGCACAAAGCTCTACTGTGTTTTCACAGGTGATAACTTCTTACTAACTCTGAGCGTTATCATCTGCCCCCAGCATTGTGACAGCCTCTAGCCTCTTTTTTTCTTCTTTTTTTGGCACCACTTTGGTATAGTCTATATTCAACAGCTAATATAGATCATGATACACTCTGGTCATTATCTACCACTTCCCTTTTTGGCCTCCTGGTTATCCCTCAAATGTCCTTTTGTATCAAGAGCTTTTCACCTATTATTTTCCCTACTTAGTACATCTTCCCCCATCTCTGGATGGCTCTCTTCCCAACCATAACATAAGCTCTGTGCTCACACATTCTCAGGAAAGGCTTCCATGATGCCTTAAAATAACATCCACCCCTACACTACCTACCCCTTACCTAATTTTTCTTCATAGCACCTATTGCCATCTGATATCCTATAGATTTTTCTTGTTTGCTTACTATCTCCTTCATTAGAATACAAATTCTACAGTAGCAGAAACGTATCTACTTTGTTTACTGTTCTTTTGTAGTGCCAAGAGCAGTGCCTGCCAGAGAAGGCCCTTAGTAACATATTTATGGAGTGACTGTGGTATTACTGTTTCATTATTCTGCTATTTCCTGATGACTCTCAGCATCTTTCCCGATGGGCACTTCAGACAGATGGTACTGAAATTGAATGGAGATTTCTGTGCCAGCTTTGCACTACACTGTTGTGCTACTGGTGATTTTGGCAGGAAACAAATGCATATTCAAAAAAGGCTTAATGGAAAATAATTTAGTGAAGGGACCACTTACAAAGAGGGTGGCAGGATTTGCTGCACACAACCATTTCCTATGAATGAACATAGCTCTAAACCTCAGGCCACTAAATGCACGGTCTGAAATCCTGAGGATTTTCCTTCACCACCATCTTTCAGGGCCATGCCTGGCTGGGGCTCAAGCAGCTATTTCTTACTGACTTCAGAATACCTTAATGATCCATTTCTAAATCAAGACCATCAAATTAAACACCAAGTGAGTACTTACAAAGGGTAGAGTGGGGCCAAGTGGAGAGGGTTAGACAAATGAAAAGACGAGGGGTACTTAGGAATTCAATGTTTAACCTACAAAATTAAGAAGAGGGAGGGAAGGGTTGGGTAGGAATGGATGAGAATGTTTAAAGAGGTGTCATTGATTAAAATATATTGTGGGTTGGGAAGGTGGCTCAGTGAGGCATGCATGAGGCCCTGGGTTTGATTCCTCAGCACCACATAAGCAGAAAAAAAAAAGCCGAAAGTGGCACTGTGGCTCAAGTGGTAGAGTGCTAGCCTTGAGCTGAAGAGGCGAGGGACAGCACCCAGGCCCAGAGTTCAGGCCCAAAAATAAATAAATAAATACAAAAATAAAATAAAAATAAAATATATTGTATTCATAAACAGCTTAGTTAAATGGCAACTCATTTGTACAACTACTTAAAGATAATAATAAATAAAATAAAAAGTTAAGTAAAAGAAAATAAATAAAATGGCTAACTGTCCTCTCTCATGTATGCCCTGTCCTTTAAAAACAAAACAAAACAAAAAAAAACATTTTTCTCCCCTCTGTCAATGCATAGAAAACTTCCTGTGAATTCATAAAGAAGCAGAAATAACATAAGAAGGAATCTAAGTCATATTCTCCCATATTTTTACTCTTAACTTCTAAGATCTAGTCTCCCACATGCAATGTCACTTAACAATGAGCCTGTGCACATCCAGTTAGATGATGCATATAGACAATACCCTTATGTTGCATAGTTATTGGGTAAACTAGAGTCTAAATTTTAGAACATAGCCCAGTGGCTAATCAAAAACTGCTTTTAAAACAGTCAACTAATCATTTGCACCAGGCGCTTGGGGCTCAGGCTGAGATCTGAGGATGGAGATTCAAAAAGCCAGCCCAGACAGGAAAGTCTGTGAGACTCTTATCTCCAATTAACTGTCAGAAAACTGGAAGTGACTCTGTGACTCAAAGTAGTAGCGTGTTAGCCTTGAGCATAAAAGCTCAGGGACAGTACCCGGGCCCTGAGTTAAAGCCCCAGGACCAGCAAAAAAATAGGGAAGCAGCAGCAGTAGCAGCAGCGGCCTCATCATCATCATCATCATCATTTGCAGAGAAGCATGTCTTTACTCCATACTTTAAGAGGCTTTGCCCTAATTCTATTAGGGTTCCCTGCAGCAACCTTATCTGCCCCCAGACAACCTGAAATTTGTTGAATCTGTAGGTCATTAGGCCCGAAGAGCAGGGAAACTTCCCCTGGAGCCTAGGCCTGCAAGGTTCTTCTTTGCCCTGGATCTCATTCTGAACTGTGAGCTCTACCCCAGACCTACCACAATTTGACAACAATACTCCCCACAGGTAAATCAGGGATGATACATGCATCCAGGATTGGATAGTATTATATTAGCTTGATCACCTAGGAATGGTGTTAATATTATTAAGTCGGTTACTGAAAGCCTGCATTCAACAGTGACTAGAACCTTGCTGGCACATTTTAAGACACTGCCTTAACTGCTAAGTTAGCATTACTGAGCCCCTTCGCTGACTAGTCCCATGTGTGTGTCTCTCTAAGAAAACTCTTGAAACACTGCTCCCTCCTTCTGCCTCTCCAGGCTTCAGTGTGGTAATGACATCCCACCATTGCTAGACCCAGTGTCTCTTCATGTTGGTTACTTAGTTCTAGCTCACATCTTATATTATCTATCTGTCTGTCTGTCTGTCTGTCTATCTATCTATCTGGTTTAAAACCAAAGGCTCTTTCTAGACTGCCATGCTACCACTTGAGTCACACTTCCAGCCCTACTTTTTGAATATTATTTTGGAGATGAAGTCTTGCAAACTTTCTTCCTTGATTGGCCTCAATTGATAATCCTTTAGCTCTCAGCCTCCTGAATAGCTAAGATTATAAGGATGAGACACTAGTGATGGGCTTAAGTTGCCTGTTTATTACAATCTTTTTTAATAGTTCTGAGGTTTGATCTATCTGGTAGGCAAAGAGTCTACTACTTGAGTTATGCCTCTTAATTCTTTTTTTCATTTGTTATTTTTTCCAACAGGGTCTCATATTTTTGCCCAGGCCAGTCTCTGACCATGGCTCCTCATCCTACCTATGTCTTCCTATAACTGGAATTTCAGACACTCTACCATACTCTGCTTATGGATTGAGATGGAGTCTCACTAAACTTTTGCTCAGGCTGGCCTCAAACTTTAGTCCTCCCAATCTCTGCCTCCTGGGTAGCTGGGATTGCAGGCATAAACCACAATGTCTGGCTTGGTTAAATTTTCTTCTCTGTGTGTATACCAGCACATAGAAGACAATCAGAAATATTATTATTATTATAGTTAATGGATAGAATAAAAGATGTCAGAAGCAGGAAGGAAACACTCTTTTCCCCACTCCAAAAAAGAGTCCAGAGTTTGGGTAGGGAAGATTGAATATATCCCATATATTAATTTCTCCTTAGAGATCATCTCTTTTTGTCCTTCTCATAAGAATGGGAAATCACTTATTCCCTCCTCCATCTGTCAATTCCTTGACTCTTGGGCTTTGTATGAACATGAGCTGGCCATTCCCTTGCTTTTAGAAATCCCCTCTTAGTTCCCAGGATTGAGAGAAAGCAAAGATGAAAGGGAGCTATGCCAGGCCAGACTCTCTCCAGCAGTTCCTGTGCCCCTAGGCAATGAATTTGGGAAACTGATGGCTAGGGAAAGGATCAATGCCTGTAAGAGCCAGGAGGCTGCATGCAGAGGCCTGAGATGGCAACCTGGGCCTTCTCCTAAGGAAGCTTCCCCTTCAGCTGTCCTTGTCTCAAAACACGGGCTGGTCCCCAGAGGATGACATAGAGGACCCATCTAGGCTCTCCAGGTTTGTCTGAGGGCAACATGAAGCCTTACCAGAAAGGACAGAGGCACCAGGGAAGATGCAGAATGAACCTAGCAAAGCAGATTCAACTCTTCACCCTGCTACTCTTACTTCTGAACCCCAGCCCCAAGGCTGGTGATGTAACTTCCACCAGTGGCATGTGAGTGCTGAAGCTGACAGCACCCAGCCCCACTTCTGGCCAGACTGCAGACTGCTTCAGTTCTCAGAGCTGAAGCCAAGGAAAGCAAAGAGGGCAAAGCCACCCAGGGGGGAGAGGGGGGGCAGGGTTGAGTTCTGCCAGAAAGAGAGGGGTCAAGGGGAAGCCCCAGAATGGGAAACGGAGGGGAATTTTTGCATAGTAAAAGTAAAAGCTCTAGACCATAAATAAGAAGCAGGCCACAGCCTCACCCAATCTCATCCTAGAACCCCTCACAACCCATCAGGGCTAGCTGTGTGCTTCCCGGCCCATCACACCCACCCAAGCCTCGGCCTCTCACCGACTGCTGCACACACATCCAGAGACTCGCTCACTCTCACACACTTGCTGTCAGCCTGCCTCAGTTCACCCTCCATGGCGCCTGGTGTAACCCCACTACTGGTCTTCAGCCTGCTGTTTCTTTGGACCTCCCCAGGTAAGACTGAGGGACAGGCTGGAGTGGGGTGGCAGTGAGTGGGGCTGATGTCTTGCTTCTCACTGCTTGACAATGGCCGTGAGTGACACACATCATACGTTCATCTCTCTCAATGGACCTGGGGCTCCTTGTACTGTGCATCTGTGTACCCCTGAATTCCAGTGTGGCTCATCTGTTGGCAAAACCAGGACTCTATGGCTGCCCTTGTCTCTTCTTGTGTCCTGCTACCTCTGTTTCCTGAACAAAGAGGGAACGAGATATATTTGTTTTAGGAAAGGAGACTATTTGCCAGGCTGACAGTCAAATATTTGTATTTCCTTTCTTTCTCTTGTTTTGCTGTTGTTTGATTTGGTTGCTTTGTTTGAGATAGTGTCTACGTTGTCTACGCTGGCCTTGAACTCTTGGTGATCCTCCTGCCTCAGTCTCCCCAGTAGCTTGACCTATAGCAGTCACAGGCCTTGTTCTTACCAGCATTAACTCCTTGCTTGTTAAAACCTGAGGGAAGTTGAGCCCCGGGAGAGAGGCCGATTGGATCACAACAGCAGAAAGGCATTTGTTGGACCTAGAGCAGTGTGATTCTTTACCAGTTTGATACATTGGTGCATACTGAGCATCAGGACCAGTATTCACACACACACACACACACACACACTCACACAGAGGTGTTTCAATCCTGCTTAGAGCTCTGGCTTCTCTGTCTCATGGTCCCTATGTTCTACCTTTCCCCTACCTCAGCCCCAGTGCTGGGTGGTGCTAATGATGCAGAAGACTGCTGCCTGTCTGTGACCCAGCGCCCCATTCCTGGGAACATCGTGAGAGCCTTTCGCTATCTTCTCATCAAAGATGGCTGCAGGGTGCCTGCTGTTGTGTAAGTGATCAGAAGACTATCTAACCCCAGCCATCCCCACCCCATTAGCTCCTCCAGATACCCCCACTACCTTATCCCTCTTCTCCTGCCCAAGTCCAAGGGACAAAGAAGTTCCTGAAACAGGTTCTTATCCTCTGCCCCTCATCTTAGAGCCTTCCAAGAAGCTGAGTTACAGGGCTCAATTCTCTCTGACCTCTAACTCCAGGTTCACCACACTGAGGGGTTACCAGCTCTGTGCACCCCCAGACCAGCCCTGGGTGGAACGCATCATCCGGAGACTGAAGAGGTTCTCTGCCAAGGCAAGCCAAGGCCCTGCCCAGGCCTGCTTCCTCCCTCCAAGCCCCTCTCTAAATATCTAACTCCTGACCCTGCCTCTCCCTCCCTCCCCAGAGCAAGCGCCACAGCAGTTAGTTCTAGACAGCTCCAGAGGGAGCCCTGTGTCTCACTGGAAGGATGTGAATCACCCTGGCCTGGAGAACTAAGACCAGAAGAGAGGATCAAACCTCCTGCTGCTTCATACCAGACCTGACCCAGCCAGAGTAGGCCTGGAGTGTCAACATGAGTGGGGGTGGGAGGGTGAATGTGGCAACTGCTCAGCCTCCCTATGTCCAGACTGTAGTGCTTCCAATAAAGCCACCTGGCACTCATAGATCTGTCTGTTTGCCGTCTATTTGATCTCGACCTTGGAGGACAGGGATCGAAAGGAAGGAGAAGGAACAGCAGGATCTATTTCCTATTCTGAGACCTAAGAAACCTCTTACCAGCCTCCCTCCTCTTAAGGGCCAAAGTTGACCTGGTCAACTTGGGTCAGTTCCCTGAGCCAGCTAAGTCTGCTGTCCAGGCAGGTGTTCAAGCATCCAGGTTCCTTCCAGATCAGGTGTTGGTGTGAGTGAGGAGGAGAGGGGAGGGCAGATGTCCTAGCTCTATTTGCTGGAAGGAAAGTACTCAAGTACCAAGCCTTTTCCTCCAACACAATCTTCCTCCTCTGCCCCACCGGCTTCCCATTTAGATCCAGATGTCTCTTCCTCCAGGAAACAAGGCTAGGCTGGTTTAGTAGCTTCACTCTCTCCCAAGCTCCCATGCCCCCCTCTGAGACTACCTTCTTCCAGCAGCCATTACACTGACCCATATTCACTAGTTTGTGCTGGGAAGGAATCATGTTGAATTTAACTTCTAACATACTACCTGGTACAAGGTCATCACTCAATACATATTTGTGTAAAGGATGAATGTGAATAGTCTCAGCGGCCATGGGTAAAAATCCAGCTGTCTATTCTGTTCATAGGGAGTCTGACCTCCAGATCTGCCCCTCCACCTACTCAGTCTGAGCAAGCTCCAGCCCCACCTAAGCAAGGCTGAGCTACACAGACAATAACAGGGGTGATGACAGATGGACCAAAGAGCCAGAGGTCAGAGATGGGCATGAGGTCCATGGGGTAGAAGAAGGAGCAGCTAGAGATGCTCCAGAGACTCAGCAGGGAGGAGCCCCATAATACCCCTGCAGTGCCCATCAGCCTCAGGGCTTACATGGAAACCAGAAGCAGTCCCAGACCGAGAGGACAAAAGTCCTGTGACTCTTGGAGCATCTCATAGAGCTGCTTTGTGAAGATAAAGCCCCTTGGCATTAGAAAGTCCTCCAGGGAAGTGAGGGGACTGTTGCTTCTTAAATGCCTGTCCAGATGGAAGTGACAAGACTGTGCTGCTGCAGTCAGGTGGCTGCTAGGAGGCCAGATTGAACATCCTCGCCTAGAAGTATCACCATGTCATATAGACATCACCCAGCAAGCAAGCCAAGCCTGGGCAAGCTTTCACGGCAGCCTCTTTCTCTTCTCGGTTCCCATGGCAGTTGCTCAAAACCTCAGGATCTCCAGAGTCACAAGGGGTTGGTGGGAGAGGGACAGGTTTCAAGAACAGCTGCTAGGGCTTGAAAGTTTGCCTCTGCTGCCAGGGGAGAAACTATTCATCCATTCATGCATCCATGCATCCATTTACTCAGCTGTCTCTGTGCTCATCAGACCTCCATCCATCCACTACTTACCTACCTGCTTCCCACCCACCCATCCATTAGTCTAGCCATGAAGCCAGACAGAATGCCCTGCAGGCAGAACAAACACATATTTGTTGGGGGGTGAGGGGGCGAGGGGAGAGCAAGGAGTATGTTGCCTCAAATTTCTTCAGATCCCAGGAAAACAAGAGGAGGTTAGCCTGACTCAGGAGCAGATACAAATCATCTCTCTGAGGGTAGGATCTTTGGCTGATGTAAAACCAGGGCAGAGCCTGAATGCAATCTCCATGCCACAGGGAGATTCATGAACAAGTCCAGAACATAATGCCGAGATCACACTCCTGACAACTCTAACCCTGTCAGTGAGCAGCTCTACGCAAATTCCTTCAAAATACCCCACCCCAGAGCCTATCAGATAACAGAAAAATAAAAGCTTGACTTTTTTATTTTTTTTTTTTTAGTCCTTCCAAATAAGAACTTGGCTTCCAGAATCTTTGGATCAGTCACACTAAACCCCCAACATTTATACAGACTTTACCAATGTCTAGCACATCAAGAAACTTTCTACTTCCTGGATCCCCAGGGACCACTGTTTGGGAACAAAAGAGACTGAGATTCAGGAATAGAGAAAATAAACCCCAGCAATCCCAGCTTCTCAGAGAGCAAAGGCAGGAGGATTAGGAGTTTGAAGGCAGCTCTAGCAAAATGAGCAAAAACAAAAAGGAGGCACTGGGAATTTGTTGAAGCAGCAGAGTGCTTACTGCAGCCCTGGGAGAGAGAAAAAGAGAGAGAAAGTCAAGAAATAAAAAAAATTGGGGGGGGGCTGGGAAGGTGGCTCAGTGGTAGAGCGCTTGCCTTGCATGCCTGAGGCCCTGGGTT